TGGTGGAAGGAACATCTTGGGAGAACAGAACAGCCCTAGGGTAAAAGAGGGATCATCGTTTTACTTCCTTACTGATCATCCCTAAGAAGGGGTTACTGAGAGGGAAAAGAACCAGGCCAGGGCAAGTGGTCTGCAGTAGGCATGGGATTCCGTACACACAAAGCAACTGGCTGACCTGTGGAATAAATCATAGATTTGACATGGCTCTTCCTCCTTCCTCCCTTCTTTGACATGAGCCTCTCCCCTCAAATTCTTTGTCCACTGTAGCTAGGGACACTGACTGGTGAGTAACACCAGGACACAACCGATACGGCTGGCGGCCTCCCCAACACAGACCACGCCCCATGCCTGCAGGAACCACAGAAGTGGGTGAAGCTCCATGGTTGGGTGAGAAGGGCTCAGGCCCACTCAGAATATTCCCAAGCCTTTGTCACCATGAGGGCTGGAGGGACAGACAGTAGCCCAGGCCTAAGGCAACAACCATGAGGCCTTAGGGCAGCCACCATGACTGGCTCAGGGATAAACTATGTTGATGTAATCATAGAAAGTCCAACTTGCTCAATTGGGGGTCAAGAACAACTTTCTTGGATAGTGTGGTACAGGGTGATAAAGCACTGTTACGAAGCCCTGTGAATTTTGTCATTTAAATACTGCCGAACCCTACTGTCTCCTCCCCGCTGCCTATATTAATTGTCCTGTCCTCCAACTCAATACTCTAGTCCCAAAGTGAACTTCTCAAATGACAGACCTGAACTTGTCATTTTACTACTCAAAAACTGTGGATACCTCCTGAGCATAGAACATGGCAAATAGTGTGAACTTTGACGACAGATAACTTTGAAACTCAGCTCTGCCACTTAGTTGTGACACTTTGGGCAGACATCTTAGTTTTTTTGCATATCATTTATCTCAGCTAGAGTGCTAATACTGCTATAGACAGGATTCCTTTAGTTACTAAGTGACGAAAAACTAACACTACTCACTAGGCAGAAAAGGAGAAATTTATTAGCTCAAGGGTCCAATTGAAGAACAGCAGTGCAACAGGGTTTCAAGAATAATGAGAATCAAGAAAGCACAAATGGCTTATTTCCTCTCTTGGGGACATGGGTGAGTGGCATCGTCCATCTTTATTCTCTCCATACGTTAGCTTCATTATTGGATTGACTAACTCATACATGGCCAAGACGCAAACAGCCAGCAGCCCCCAGGCTCACATTACCCAGATTAGTTAGTAAAAAACAGGAAACTCTTCCAGTTTCCAGTTTTGTTTTGTTTAATTTTCAGGAAAAGACTTTGCTTGTCCCATCTTGAATCAGGCAGGCATCCAGTGCTACCAAGGAAGGACGAAAGACACAGCGTAAGATGGCGCCTTCTAACTAAAGAGAGACACGAAACCAGAAAGGTCGAGCAGAAGCATTTTATTTATTTATTTATTTATTTATTTATTTATTTATTTTTTGTATTTTAGGGAAGGGTCTACAGGGTGTTCAGGGTCTCACTACTAGATTGGACTTGGGACTCTTAGTGATACAGAGACAGAGAGAGAGACACAGCGACACAGAGACAGACAGAGACACAGAGACAGACAGAGATGGGGGGAGAGAGAGAGAGAGAGAGAGAGAGAGAGAGAGAGAGAGAGAGAGAGACTTACACCAACATCTAGAATATCAAATATCCAGGTCAGTGCCCAGGACCCACACTGTACAGCAGATTCTCTGCAAATACTTGACCCCCCTCTTCATCACATCTGTGTTAGTTACACAGATTATGAACAAATTCTTGAGGTAATCAATTTAAAAAAGTTTATGTTGGCTCGGAGTTTCAGAGGTCTGAGTCCGTGGCTTCTTGGCTTTGTTGCCTGTGGGCCTGTGGTGAGGCAGTGCACCATGGCAGGGCGTGGGGGAGCTCGTCACAGGAAGCCTGCTCGCCTCATCCTGGTCAGGAAGCAGAGAGCAGGGGCCAGGGCCCTGGAGGGCACACTTGCTGTGACCCTACACCTCAGGATTGTACCACCTCCTAGTGCGCAGGCTGGGATCGAGTCTAGCATGTGGCCTTTGGGAGATGCTTAAGACCCCAACCATAGCAACCTCCTCACTCTGGGGTTGGCTGCTTGCCGAGGAAGTGCCTGCATCCTTTGGAAAGCAGCTATAGATGCCCCCTGTGGGTGGCCGCAGCCCTGTGAATACAGGACTTGATAAAGAGAAGTCACACCTGTGGTAAGATCTCCCCCTTATTGTAAAGAACCAGGGTTGTGCCTTTGTGGGTGGGGTGCACAGGCAGGGTAGACAGGCTTCTGCCCCAGAATGCCCTCAGGCCTGGCCCTTCATCTCTGAGCGGCCCAACCAGGCAGGGCACTGCTCTCCCATGGCTTGCAGAACCCCATGGGCTGGCTGCATTATACTGTACCCCGTTCAACACAAACCAATTCCCTGGCTTCCATCCACTCAAAATGCGCCATTCCCAGAAGCTGTGTGTGGTTCCTACTTGTCCTGGTGCAGGGTCCTCTGCCTTTCCTGGACATTTTCCCTTACTCCAATTAGCCTCTCAAACCTGGGGGCAATGACAGTTCTGCAGATCCTTCCTCGCTCGGTGCATAAGAGCTGTGCACGCTGCTTCCTGTCTGCTTCCAGGAGCCTGTTCTTTATTCCTCACCACAGTCCCGATCACATTATATCGTAATTATCTATTTGCTCATCAGTTCCTTTCCGCTCCCCCTCCAGGGACGAGCTTGCCAGCTCCTCGTCCCCTGCTCAGGAAGAAAGCCTGGCTTCTAGTAGACCTCAATACATGCTTGTTAAATGAAATGCTGAAAGGATCCGTGACAAGGAGGAAGGAGGGAGTAAAGAAAAGAGAAGGCGAAGGTTGCACAGAAAAGCACACTGTTCTCACAGACAGACCTGTGTCTGTTTAAACATTTGCAGTTCAAACAAAAGGGAAAAAGCCAGCAGAGAGCCTGTGGGATGCTTGGAAACAGAATTACTTCCTGTCCCAATCCCTGACATTTGAGAACTGGGTTTTGTGTGCTGCTTTTACTGTTTGGGGTATTATCTTCTGCGCCCATGGGAAGGGGAGGTTTCTGTGAAGGTCTGCATCCAGGGGCTGATGCAGAGGCATCCCAGACACCCCCTTCCACCCCACTTCCATCTCAGATGGGATGGGCCCAGAGCCCTCAGTATTCTTGGCAGTGTGGCATTACTGTGGGCCAAAGGAATGAGGTCACTGTCGCCAATGAAGTCACCACTGCATGATTCACCCGACATCAGTTCCCCACTTGGAGTGCACTCACATTCCCTGGGCTTCTCCCAAAGCATCCTGAACCCAGGGACCCCTGCAAGATGAGCTCACACTTATGACAAAAAAAAACAAGGCCCAGAGAAGGGAAAGGACACACTCAAGTTAACTCTGGTAACTTGTGTTAGAGCTGGGCCAAATTCAGCTCTCCTGGCCCAGTGCCCAGACGACTTCTGATAGACACTCCCTTCAGAATAGTAGACCCAGCAAGGCGGCCAAGCAAATGGTCCTGCAGACAAAGAACAGGACACACTTGCTCCACACATTTCCCCAGTTAAGAGTAAGAGGCAAGACCTGACCTCAAGGCTTTGCATTGCCTTTCTTAATCTGTCACTTAGCAGATACAAAGTATGTTCCAGGATCTCTGGACAAATGTAAAACAGGGCGATGAAATACTTCGCAAATGAGAATCCACAAGGAACTTTCACCAATCCTCGAAATCTTGGGAAACCAGAAATAAGACTCAGGGTTTGAGAACTGAGGTCTGCGAATGGAGAAATGAGGACCCAACAGCATCCCAAAGGGTTCTCGAGTACTTGGTCCCCCGTGGGATACCCTTTCACCTCTCCAGGAATCAGTCTACTCACCTCTGACCCATGGGCGAGGAATCAACTGACCTCTATTCTGATTCTTAACACAGTATCGCGTGGCTGCGAATCGATAAAAGGAAGCGATTTCCTCTGGGTGAGCAGACTGGGGCTGGGGGTGCACTGCGGCCGCGCTTTGAGATCCCACCCCCAACTTGCAAGGCAGCCGCGACTCTAGAACCAGATCTGGCCCTCGCGGGATTCCAAGCTTTTCAGGCAGAGGGACAGGGGTCACCCACCCAACCTTAAGAGCCGGAGGCTGCCTCACTCATCTGATTTCACAACCCTCAGAGAACGTCGCCTACAGGGGGAGTGCTGGCACCTGGGCTGGGCCCAGAGCCAGCGGGGCTCCCCTTTCCGGCTGGCTGGGGTGGCTTCAACGCTTCTCACGCGGCAGGTTCCTTAGTCACCAGTTTCACAGCAAATGATTCAAGCGCACGCCGAAAAAGGCGTGTGGTTGGGGCGGGACGGAGCAATACACCGGAATCGCTGCCTTGCACCTCCGGGACCCCGCCACCTCTCCCCCGCTGGCCCGCACGCCCTTCTTGCTTTTAAGACCCTGCGGTTTCCCTTTCTGCCCGATCCCCGCTCTCCCGGGCCCAGGGACGCCTGGGGCACGGCTCTAGCCCGCGGGCGGAGCGCGCTCGCTCATTGCGACTCCGCACACCGCTTGCGTCACCGCCGAGCCTGCGGACGCCTCCCGGCGCGGCGCGCTCTTTCGCGAGGAGCCCTGGC